CAACCCAAAACTCAATTAACCATGTGTGTGACTGACCATACGGGTACCTGATGACACGCCAGTATCGTAAACAAACACATGATTATACTCCCTTGGGATCATCCCCAACGAATACTGGTGCTGGAAGCCCATGTGTTTTCTATGTGGTTTTCGTGAAAGTTCAAGTGTATTTCGTTATTTACAGTTAGTGTGTGATAAAAACGGGGTCTCAGCAACAGCCGCTTTTGACGACGACGACGTCGCATGCGACAGAGCAGAAGGGCGGCAGCAATGCTTGTCATCCTCCAGTACTTCTGCAAGTGATATGATTGGATAAAAATTCTCTTCTTATCCAGTCATATCGATGTACCATTTTGATTTTGCGAGAATATTGGTGGCACCTGCTGTTTCATATGGGAACAATTCGCGCCCGTATGTAAAATAATATGGCTTGTGTATTTTTATTATGTAAATCCTGCACAGTGATCGCTAACTCTACATAATAATAACCTTCGAGAAATGATTAGTTTTCGAACATAATCTCTAAAATTCATTTTTGTGAAGTAAAATCCTCCTTCCGGCCACGTGGCGCGTATTCTCGGCCGTAGTAACAAGACAGTACAATCCGTTTGTGCTCGTTTTGTCAAATACGGTGACATCTTCATCTCGGCGCCGGCTTACAACCTCAACAACCACAAGACCCATATCCCGCGGACACCTCAAGCCATGAGCCTGGTCTTAAAGTTCATTCGCGAAAAACGCCTTACACGAACGCGTGTAGTTTCCCGGGACGTCATGCAGCTGCTATGCGAACATGGTATTCTTACCGTCAACAGTGACAATTCGAAGGACAAGGCCTCGGCATTGCGCGCGACTCAAGTCTATCTCGCCAGTCGCGTTTTAAAGCGCTGGGACCAGAAATGAATCTCATACGGGTTAACCAATGAAGTCGTCGTGAAACGTGTTGCCGCGGCGCTTAATGAGGAGACACCGCGCATAATTGTGTACCTCGACGAACCTACATTTATCACAACTATGCGCGCCATAACTACAGCATATACCACACCGGCGACATTGACTCCAACCCACCCAAGGCAAAGCACAAGGGCAGACGTCTTTGTTTTATCGCTGGGATCCTGAACATGAAAGGAAGCTTCTGGGCCTCCATAGTTTTGCTGGTAGCACCAAGGGCTACCAAGCGACGCTCAAACACGGTTTATTTGTGGAGTGGTTCACGATGAGATCAAGTCTCTCAACCTGCATGGAGTGATCATCGCCATGGACAACGCCAAGTACAGTGATCCCTCAACGTTTGCTCCCTGGTATCAATTTATACTCCGTTAAATTTTATTCGATATTAATTTACTAGGGGCCTTATGACATGCATGCATCGTTTGAAAATTAAAATTCAAAATTGAGGAGCCAAACACCTCACATTGACAACTACACACACAACGACAATTGAGAGCATGCAAAACAAGCGCAATTCACGACAAGAACTCGATTAGGCCTCAAAACCAGTGACTGAGTGAATAGCGATAGTCGATGCAATTTTGAATTTCGCTGAACGCTATCCAAGAATACTTCGTCCTTAGTCAGTCACACAGGGATTGGTAAAAAACAGGCGTTTAAACTAATAACTCACCAATTGAATATTGATGCTGTGATCGAGTGTACAGTTTGTGACCTATTATATACTGACTACCCTATTAAAAAACAAAGTCATTTCGGAAATCGCTAGATATCATCACAAGGTCATCAAGCACAACAGGAAAGTAGGGACGAATCATCATAAAGAATCGCAAAAAATGATAATTCACAAAAGCAAATACGTCTGCAAAATAAATACAGGACACATTGCCGCCAAACAATCAAAACTTGTAAGCGGGAAAACGCTGTATGGCCATCCTCACACCATTCATTTTCAATTTTTCGCTACCTTGATGGCCCTCTCCCCACCCCCCGCTGCCGCGTGCTTGTCACAATCGCGCCAAGGCCTCACCGAACGCGCCATTTCGCACGGCGTCGACGTCCTCACAAACTTGCACGCCGCACGCGAGACCAAGCGCCTTCGCTACTCCTCTGTCAGCCGAGACCCCGATCAAGATACCTGCGACTCTCCTTCTCCCATCCTCGACTCCTTTGTCGACAGTCAAGGACCTGGTGTCGTTCACAAACTTACCAACTTCTCTCCAACAGAGTTCAACTCACTCTGGGCCGAGCTCCAAGGTTTCATCCAGTCGAACTGGAATGTTGGAAGTGGACGCAAGTGCGAAGTATCACCACGAGACATGTTATTCATGACGCTCACCTCTCTCAAACACTGTGGGTCATGGGATGTAGTCGCCGCTGTGTTCAAAGAGAAGTCCCCGACGTTCTCAAAGCGAGTTACCGGGTTCATCACTGCAATCCATCCCTACCTGAAGGCAAAGTTCATCGATGGCCTCGCCGACAAGTGGAGAATGCCTGCGCTGGACAAGGCTGGCCTATGCTTCAAGAACTATCCATGGGCCCTGTACGCTGTGGACGTTACGTTTCAGCAAGCCAACGCACCAGCGGGGTCATTTGCGGAGAAGAAGCGCTTCTTTAGCAAGAAGCATGGTCTCTACGGCATGAAAGTGGAAGCGAGTGTCCTTCCAAATGGATATGCGATCAACGTGACGAACGCGGTACCCGGGAGTTTGGCTGATATTACAATCTGCTACGACAACAATGCATTTCACCAAGACATGCTGACGAAGGTCGGCGATGAAACAACCATGTCTGACAACGGGAGTTTGCGGAACGAGTACCCAAACTCATGGGCTTTGCTGGCTGACAAGGGTTATCAAGGCCTCTACCGCCATATGCGTGCAATCACCCCTGCGAAGCGCCCTGCCGGTGGTTTACTGCCGGTGTCAGTAATGACTGCCAATGACAGCGATCGTGTTGTCGTTGAAAAAATTTTCGGGCGATTGAAGACACTTTGGACCATCATGAGCGAGTCGTACTCTTGGAAGCGTGATCATTATGATCTCTTTTTTCAAACTTGCGTTGCGTTAACGAATGTTCACATTCGTTTTTTGCCGTTGCGTGATTTAGATGGGGAAGATTTCGCGCGCTACGAGAATCGACTGCTCTCGCTGGGCGACAGAATCAAGTCCAAACGTGCTGGCTCGATGGCTAAGTATCGTGAGAAGCGCAAACATCGTATGAGCATCATTTTGCCCCCTGGAAATTCTGAAGCGGACAGTAGCTCAGATGAAAGTGGCATTTTGAATTAAACAATACATTTTGTTTTTTAATTGGAAATTACATCATATTATATTATTTACTCAGTCACTGGTGTATGCAACACATACTTTCCAAATCGCACAATGCAAGCGAAGTCACTGGGTATATTTCGAAATGACTCAGTGATTTAGTAGTATTGTTAATTTATTCGCTAAAACTCAGTCATTTATATTTTGACGTGATTATTTTGGAATATGATACAGCTCTGGCCAAAAATAACGTCTTTGGTCTAGAGGTCTATTAGAGAGTACTGCAGAGAGTACTTCGTTCAAGAGCCACTACAAGCGTCGTCAAATGGATCATGTTGTAGACATGATTGATGATCCCCCATACGGGAGTTCTCCCTCGGAACTTGGGCCATTCACTTCAGCTTTTAATTGACCAGCAGATAGTCACCCTTCAAAGTTAATGTTTGTGGTTTCTTTGTACAATAGGCTGACTTGGAAAATTTATATTTGGAAAAGCGAGCAAACGTTGAGGGATCACTGTATCATCGGTGATTACCAAACAATACACCCAAAGGTACATGGAAGAAGGTGGAACTGTTGAAATCGTGCAACGAATTGGGTGCGCCGGTATCGGCGGATGCCACGAAGGCTGCAGTTTGGGCAGCCCTAAAGGTGGGCATATAGCTCAACGTTGTATCCGTGATCGAGACCATGGCCAGGGAGCACGGACGCTTGGTTGCTTGGATGCCGCCTTATCACTCGGATCTCCAGCCTATGGAGATGGTCTGGTCATGGGTTAAAGGCGGAGTCGGCAGGAAGCACACTACCAACACGACGATGACGGACGTCGTACACGCATTCATGATGCATTCACCGCCCCTGCCAAGCCGCGTTATCTACAACTGTATTGTACACACCAAGAAGAAGGTCAAGTCTATGAGTCAATACCTCCAGGCCCTCGATGAAGCGGATGATGATGCGTCACATGTCTCCTCCTCCGAAGCTTCAGCAGGAGATTCAGAGTATAGTGATGAAGTAGAAGAATTCACTGCCTGAGACAATAAGTACCCTGTTTGTTTTTATATACAGTGGACATTAAATATGGTGATATTATTTGTGATGGGGTGGTTAACTTCCGACTCTCATTTTTAATAAAATAAATAGTGTCCTTGATGCCCTTGACCACTGTTAATGCACTTTTACACGTCCCAATGGTCGAAAACGAGTTAAATCGTTTCGGCACTAGCTCCATCCTGTAGCATCGCGCTTGATTGAAGCGCAGTCCAAGTATATCTGGCAGACAGTGGTCGACAGAGGCAATTGAATGATGGAGTCGTACATGGATGATTAATTCATCCGGATAAAAGAGTATTCGTGAGAATTCGTAAAAGGGAGATATTTTTTGCATACTTGTTAAGCATACAAAGAACAAGGTTTTATCCATGACACTACTTCGATACGAACATTCACGAACTATTTCAGTTCATGATTTCTATGTATATCCGGACAAAAGATTTCGTAAAACGGCTCAAACCGTTCGTAAAAGGGTATTATTAATACTATTCTGTCTTACAGTTAACTGTAAATGATGTTTAAAAGAGTATTCTTAACTTTTCAGCTTTCACTATAAATATCAACCCCCCAATAACATGAGTTTCTGTGTGTAACTGGTAACGTTACTTCGAAGTATGTGTTTCATAAATTTCAACCCCCCCCCCATAACATGTGTTTGAGTGATTTTGTGTTTCTCTATTAACAGTAAACAAATACTGTAAATGCAAAAACACATTGGGTGACTGCCAAAAATCACGCAATTCAAAATTTCTACCGGATTTATCTGAGACATTTTTCAAATAAAAGTGCGCTCGCAAATTTGTACAGACCGTTTTATCGTCTGTACAAAACGCATCATTTGAGAGCCATCAACTCGCATCGACATCGTGACAAATAATACTTCAAAATATGGATTTCCACAAGTATTATACTTGGTTGGACGTAGGAAGTCTGCATAATTCGTCTATCCCCATAAGGCAGGTCGAGGCAAGTCGTGGTGTCCATCATCCATCGATCTTCTCCTAGACACAACCCTCGATGTGTTGCCATTAGGTAAGAATGGATGGGAGAAGGTTGAGAGTCGCTTTAACCGTTTGGCTGAGACGAAGTTACTCCCCGTGCGCGACATGGACGCCCTCAAGAGGAAGTTCATCCTCCTCAAGAATCACGCGAAACCAACGGGTGACCCCGAATGTCCCGTCAAGGTGAAGCGAGCGAAGCGCATTCAGCGTGAGATCGACCAGTCGGTCTCGGTGATGTCACTGGATGTCGGTTGCGACGAAGATGAAAACGACGACGGTAAAAAATACTTGAAATCATGTTGACCATGTATTTTAGATACGGACCCTCCGGTCCCGGCCCAAGAAGACGACGAAGATGTCGGACGAACCGGACTGCAACAGACGGAGTTGCAGTCCTTGAGCGTGACCTTGAAGCGCCAATTCGACCAAGGAGACCCGACAGCGAGATTATTGTCCTACACGGCGAAGAAGCGGCGCTCGATCGACAAGTATATTAACGGCGCTGCCGAGGCCGACACGAAGGCTTCGTCGGACATGATGACGATGATCTTACTTATGGACGAGCGGTCGGCAAAGCGAGAAGAAAGCCGGATTGAGCGTCAAGAAAAGTACGACCGGGAGCGCGAAGAGCGTGATGCGAGACGTGAAGAACTACACATTCTTCTGATGGGGAAGATGATGGGACAGCACCAAAAGTAATACCACAAAAATTCATCTCTTGGCGACTTCGGGTCATGCATTTTCAACTGTGTACTAAATTGCATATATTATACGCAACTATCCGTCACAATAATCATGTTCGGTGCAAATTATCTTACTTAAAAGCACTTACAAACAAATATATCCGCACAAGATATGGAATTAACTAGACATATACTTACAAATTCGCCCAAAAAGCTTAAAAATGTGCCAAATTTTTTTATATCTTGGACACATCAGTGATCATGGTATACAAATGCTAAGTGTAAAGGCGTCGTATGTGAATCCTTAATTTGCATTTATCTTCTAAGTGTAATATGACTAAGCACTGAATACATTTTTTATTTGGCTAAGTCCCGTCCGACGAACGCGGAAATTGTACAGGCGAAACATGTTCGACAGACGTTGGCCTCGTAGCACTGGATTGTAGGGTAGAGGTAGCATCAATTGACGATATACTTTCCCCGTTGCCCCCATGCCCCATTCTGCAGCTTCGCGAAGCGACGTGATACAATCACTCATAGTTTGTAAGGCCAGGCGGTTTGCCGGTGGCTGCCGCTCGAGGTCACTTTGTTTTAGCGGAGTGATGATCCTCCCTGCACAAGGCCCAGCCACAGGGAACGCCGAATCGGACGCCACTTTCATTCCGACGCCTGCATAGCGGCCGTCTGCCAGCCTGGCTTGAAGTTGGCGACTCACTTCGCCATCATTCCAAGAACCAGGGCAGTTATGCCGCGCCCAGATTATCGTCCCGACAACGCCCAAGCACAGGCAACCCGTTACGAAGACGGAATGAAGCCACCCTACTCGTACTATTAATTGATTGTTTTATATACATTGACGTTACCGACCATTGAATTGAGCATTTTGGAGATCAATGTTACTCGGACTTTGGACCCGATAATTTTTACCATCCACAAATGCAAACACGCCTTCAACGAGGGGCTCCTTGGCATTGGTCAAAGTTGGCCAGTGCTGTTGTTGCCGAGTCGTTGGCCATCGTACCGCGGCGTCTGCGATTCGGTTTAGAGAACGTCCCAGTGCACGCTCGGCATTGGATAACACGCGTGCGAAAGTACTTGGGGATACCCCAAAGAGCTCCTGCGGGGTCTTGTGTTCAACGGCTGCCGTATAGAAGTGGAGGGTCATGGCTAGAACAGCATGCTTGTGCTGGATCCTCGGAGGGCGTCCTCGTCGACCTGGACCGGACAACACTGTACTCTTGGTCAAATACTTGTAGCAAATCATCGAAGTCGTCCGGGGGCAGAGAGACCGTGGTGAGGAACGATGGGGTGTTGCGGGAACGGTACATTGTGTACCAAGCTGCGTCAGACTGGTCGTCATGCAGTGCCACCGACTCGACGGCATTGCGTTCACGAAGGATGCCTCGGAGGCGAAGCATTTCCAATCGTCGTTATCGGCGACGATGTCGTTGGCGTGAGAAGAGTAGGGCCGCTACGCTAGCGGAAACCATGTCAATGATGCATTCGCATGGACCAATGAGTTTTAACCAATACATTTTGAGTATGAAAGCTATTTTGTCCAATTAAATCAATTGGTGAATTGTGCTTTACGCAGGCCTCCTAAAATTGTCGCTTACGACAAAATAAACAAATTAGTCTATTTTGTCGTCCTCGCCAGTGTTAGTTTGTCTTCTTACACATAAAGGCGGTTTAAGGTGCCAAAAAGGTCTTTTTTAAGGCGCCAAAAGGGATCATCGTGATATTTATACTACCGGCATCATCGATTTCTGCTTGGCCGGGACACATATATCCGTGCGATTCTCGTCCATCTCACATTTTAGGATGGAGATATCGCTCTCGTCAGCGACGGTATTGGCGTAGCACTTCCTGGAAAATGAACAATCGAGTGGTCCAAGATGGGCATAGAATCAAGCGACTCCTACTCCTGGCCGTTGGACTCGCCCTGGTTCACGATCGCGACGTCGAGCATGTCTGTCACCATGCCGACCTGCGCGTGGATGTGCGACTCCTACTGCGCGATGTGCAGGGACCGGCTGGCAGAACGGCGAACGTAATTTTGACGACATCGATGATCACGGCGATACAGAACGTCATGAGCCACCATTCGCAGGTCGCGTGTTGTCCGGACGTTTCTCAACGCAGAACTCCTTCGGCTCCAGTGGTAGCTCTTTTGGAACGTGAGTAGGCGGCCGAGGTGGATCCACTGGTTTGTCTCCTTGGGACACTGATGTTCATGCGCTTTATAAGGTTGGCCTGCTGACACATGAAGATCGCGAAGGCCCGGTGAATTTGATTCACGTACCAATCGCCACGTACTCGGCGGCCTGCTTGACGACTAGGTCGTTTTGGTGCCGTGCGCACCAAAGAGGGTGTTCGCCTTCTTCTTGGGCGGCATGACGTTGCTTTTGCTGTGTAAGGCCCGTGGAATCGCGTCCTCAAACTATTAGAAGGCGGATTAGTGCTTCCTCTGCTGAATTTAAAATAACCTTAATTTGTCGTCCCACCCAAACTTAATTTGTCGCTTTCTTGCGTATTTTATAGCAAAACGACAAATTTAGGAGGCCTGGCTTTACGAGAATATTGGAGGCACCAACGATTCTTCTGGATTGGCCACACAGTCATGGGTCAAAAATTATACGTTATCCGGATTCTCAAATACAGTCTGATGCAAAACGTTAAGACACCAAGTATATCTGAGCTATCTCATTGAATATCAAAGG